CAGGTGACGATGTTGATGGAGTCGAGGGAGGACACTGGTCTGGACTAGGAAAAGCAAGACTGGAGAAATAATTAAGGTGGACATTATTTTTTCTGAGCATAAGTCATGACTTGAAATCTGAAGAGCCTGAAGGAGTTTCCCGCTACACAAACCTGTTTTTCCCTTTTCCCGCAAAGCCTTGTTTAGCCACAGGTCCCGTACCAACACCAGGGGGCGCTCACAGACCATGAAGGCACCGCGGAGCTGGGATTGTTTGTGCTGGGCTCCTGGGTGCCTGACTCAACCAGGGGAGCCAAGACCCTGTAGCCAGGTGGCCTGGATTCAAGCTGCAGCTCTGGTCCTACTGACACTTTCCCTCCCGGTGCCTCAGTTTCTTCATCTGTGAAATGGTGAGGACATTACAGCACTTACCTCTGGGACGAATTTCTCAACAGCAGCACTATTAACAATTCGGGACAGAGAGTGCCTTGTGGAGTGGGCTGTCCTGTGCACTGTGGGAGGTTTGCCAGGAGCACCCCACTCACCCCTCCCAGCAATCCCCATACGACAACCGAAAATGTCCCAGGATTTTGAGGTCTCCTTTTGGTCTGGAAGCTGCACTTAGGCACTTTCCCACCTGACACTTCATCTATGACATGGTCTGTGGGCCTTATGCTTTGGTCCACATAAGGCCACTTTTAAAGAAGGATTCTGTCCATCTTTTAAACAAGTCAATTTTCTTCCTTTATCTCTGCATTCAGTTATTCCTTGCACACCCTTTGTTTAGTATATCTTGAAATGTATCAGTTCCAATTCTAGTAGCAATTCAGGACACCTGCTATGACCTCAGTAGCGCTCTGAACCCTTTAGTACAGGGAACGTGTTCTCGATTCTGCTCTGGATGATGTAAATCAGTTTATTTTGGTCTACTTGTTTGAGATGTTGCTCCTCACCTGTCAAATGTAAATGCGGACATGGCTTGAATTACTAAGTGGTTTTATTTCTTCATTCCTCTGATATTTGTTGCATACTTACTACAAGTCAAATACAAGGCATAATATTGCTTCCTTGATCACACCACATCAGATGAGAAAATCAGACATTATAGCCAGCTGTGGGGGCACACACCTGTAGTCCTAGCTACTCGGAGGGCTGAGGCAGGAGAACTGCTTGAGCCCAGGAGTTTGAGGTTACAATGAGGTATGATATCACCAATGCATTTCAGCCTGGGCAACAGACCCCGTCTCTGAAAAAAAAAGTAAAAGCATTGTGAGCTGTCTACATGGACTCTGTGTCTCACAAGATCCATGTCCTGTAATTTTTCTAAATGGCATCTCTGTGTGGTTTCCATGAATGTGTGTCTGGTATTTCTTTTCTATCCTTTTATTTTCAGCTTTTCTGTACCTTCTACTGAAATTATGGCTCTTGGGAAAAGCCTACAGCGATTTATGTATTGACTTAGTTTTCCCCCTCTGCACTATTTGTCTTGTCATTGGAGTGTGTGAGTCCACTATGTTTAATGTCATTGTTGACCTCACTGGGTTTAAGTCTGTACATTGTCATTGCTGTCTTCTAATATTGTGTCTTTTTATCTCAACTATTTTTCTTGTGTTGCCTTCCTTAGATGAATAAAAAGTTTTCATTATTGTAGTCTTCTAAGTAAGTGTTCAAGATACAACTCCTCTTATCATTCACTTAATTATCTGAGAAAGCACAATAATCCATGACTTATAACTGACAGCAGACCATAACTTCCCTGACTTTCACCTACCTGTGCAGACAGCCCAGGGGAGAAGCAGTGCTCTGGCTCTGAGACACAGTGGGTGGAAGCAGGAGAGTAACTGGATGGTGAAGCTGTAGCTGCAGAGGCATCCGGGCCCCTCACCTGCACTCCTCGTAGATGTCTCCTCCACTGAACGCCTGCGATGCCCTCTCCTCCGTGTGCTCCTGCCAGAGTCTCCCCGTCTCCACTGACAGCAGCTCCGCCCTTCTACTCACTCAGTCCAACACTGTGGGTGTCCTTGATTCTTCTTTCTCACACCACAGATACAATCCATTAGCAAGGGCTGTGAAGTCCATCTTCAAATTCATCCGGAATCTCATCACTTCCCACCATTTCCCCTGCTCACACCCCAATCAAGGTAACCAGCGTCTCCATCCTGGAATACTGCGCTCCTTCCCCACCGATTCCCTACTGCCTCACTTGTCCCCCACCTCTCAATTCTATTCTCAGCACAGCAGCCAGAGAGAAGCTTTCAAAGTGTAAGTCCCACCATGTCCCACTTTTCAAAACTGTCCTCTAACTCCCCATGTCATTCAGAACAAAGGTCAAAACCCTTCCCACACCCTCCAGGCCTACCTGCTCTGGCCACACCTCTGACCTCATTTCAGTTTCTCTCTGTCCAGCCCTTCTGGCCTCTTCCTCCTTCCAGGAACACAGACACTTCCCTGCCCTAGTGCATCTGCACTGAAGGTTCCTGCCTGAAAAGAGCTTTCCTAGTCATCCTTGGGGACAGCTCCTCACATCCCTCAAATCTTCACTCAAAGGTCACATGTGCAACAAGGCCCATGCTGACATCCCAGCACAGCAGCCACCCCCTGTCCCCACAGCCCACACTCTGATCACCTGCCCACAGCACTTGCCACCTTCTCACTCAAGCATTTTCTGTTCTTACTCTGCTTATACTGTATCTATCATCTGCCTACAGAGGTGTCCAATCTCTTGGCTTCCCTGAACCACATGGGAAGAAGAATTGTCTTGAGTCACACATAAAATACACTAATGACAGCTGATGAGTAGAAAAAAAAATAGCAAAAAAGGGGAGAAAAGTATGTGCGTAATTTTCATGACATCTACCACCACAGATAAGCAAAAACGTCCTTACATTCGAAGCTATCCTGAGCCACATGCAGCCTGTGAGCCGCGGGTTGGACCAGCTTGCATCTAGAACATATGTACCACAAGGCCAGAAATTTTCCTGTTTTTACTTTAATGATGTTTTCTAAATGCGAAAACAGTCATATACCTAGCAGACAACAAATTTCAGTTGAATGAGTGATCACTGAAGGGCACCTCCTTATTTTAAAGGCAATATCTTTATTAATGTAGCCTCAGGCCAAATGCTGTTTTGTGGCAGCTACAGAACAACGTCATCTCACACTGACATCAGTGCTGCCAGAGCTTTTCTCACCAGGGCTGCGTGTGTGCTGCCCTCACTCCCTCCCTCCTCCCTCCCTCCTCCCACACCAAGCCTCCTGCACGCTGCAGGACACAACCATATTTTACTCTTCAGGAAAGATAACCCTAGGTTTATGGCTCTGATTTTCAAACCACATAGGAATCTAAATTAGAGTGTGCTTTATAAATCCATGAGTTTGTATTGGAGCCAGTACTAGGAGTATTACAACTCAGGGCAGCAAGAAGAGTAGGAGAGAGAGCAGAAGGAGTTCCAGCAGAAAGTTACCAAGATGAGAAACTACGGGAGCCCTCCTCTCTGCAAGTTTCTGAATCTGCTTTAAGAAGGCTGGGGAAAGGATGGAAAATGCAATTCAGGAAAGAGAACCTGGAAGGAGGGCGAGAGGAACTCGGGTCTGAAAATTTGTCTCCTGATATCACAAGGACCTCTATGTGTAGAGATACATAGAAGGATGTATCTCTACATATGTATGTATATATCTCTACATACATATGTATGTACATAGAAGTATGTATCTCACATACTTAGGTTACATCCAAGCCTCTGTGATTACAGGTCATGATGGGACAAGGTTCTACTGAAGGGCCAAGGACAACAGACAGCAAAGATGACTCAGCTGAGCAGTGACCACATAAAGCCCACAGTGGCGTGCGCACCCAGTGGGCACAGCCCCATCTACTGTTCACCCCCGCAACAAATCAGCACAAGAAATACATGGACTATGGGAAGATCTCGGGTCTTCCATTTATTTGGATGCTCACATTTCAGGAATCTTCTCCTTTAATTAACCCATCAATCTCTCGTGGAAATACTTTGAAGAAGTAAATTATATTCAGATTCTAATTTTAATAGGAAAGTAAGAAGTTACAGCTCAGTGCACCGTAAAGTAGAGACACAAATGGAGACATACCAGCCCCACATCTCTGGAACAGGAAAGGTGATGGAGAAGGAATGCAGGTCAGCGTGGGGAAGGGGTCATGGTGGATACGGGGCTGGTCTCTTCTCCTCACCTTATCACATTATGCCTATGTGATAAGACACAGACAAATTCAGATGCCTTTGCAATAAGAGAAGTCAGGGTTCCTGAAGTTACATATTGAAGGTGTGAATAAATCTTGACTCTCAGTCCCACTCAAGGCAGCTGTCTCACACTATAAAAAAAATTCATTAACAAATTTATATCAGTCACACTTTAAACAACCCATCACCAGCTCAATACATCCTAGTCAAAGAAACCCCATAACACAGCTGTGCCCACTGTTCCCCCCCAACAACCTACACACATCATCCTCCCGCCCCAGGGTCTTATTTTTACAAGCCGTGAGAGACACATCAGAGCGCTGGGCACTGTCACTGCCTGGGGTACAACAAAAACAGGACCTTGTCAGAGCCCATAAGAGATGTCCTAGAGGAGGAATTGTGGGCTGGGTGAGCTCCCCCATGGGCTCCCGACCACAATATCCCAACAATCTCGGGGTTCAGCCTCCTTCACACTTACATGCAGCCTGAGAGTAGCTCCCTCTTCTACTGTCCGTGGGAAGAAAATGTCCTGTGCGATCTCAGGGATCAGCTTCCTTCACTCTTGCAGCTGGATGGTAGCTCCTGCCTTTGCTATCTGTGGTAATAAAATGTCCTGTGAGAGGCCAGAAAGAAGGCAGGGCCATGAGGTCCTAGAGGAATCTCCTACTCTTAGAAAGTAGAGAAGTTTCCAGAAATGCGACTAGAGACCCAGGGCAGGATAAAGAAACATGAAGAAAGCAGATGTGGGTCCCAGACCTATTGCCCTCCTGAGGTCTGTCCTCAGAAGGGACCTTCCTCTGTGTCCTGTGACTGCTGAGATTAGGTCTCCATCGCGACAGTCATCAAGGTGATGCATTTGTCCTTCATTGTCACAGGTGTTTTACATAAGTAAGTGCTGGCACATGGCCCAGGCTGGGTCAGCTCATGAGTGTGGATGATGCTTCTCAATAACCAGGCAGGACACACTTCTACCTGGGGCTTGGAACCCTCAGTGGGACAAGAAATCTCAGACCCCACTCCTCACCCCTTCCTCACCTGAGCTCTTCTTCCACCACATCAAAGCAGCTCCAGTGACTACAGCTCCAAGGACAGCCAGGCCAACAATGATGCCCACAATGGGGATGGTGGGCTGGGAAGACAGCTCTGGGAAAGGAGGGGAAGGTGAGGGGCCCTGACCCCAGGCCGCAGCTCCAACCCTGTTGAAAGGTTGCAGAGGGGCTCCTGCTTTCCCTAAGAGACATGACACCCCATCCCCTCCTTACCCCATCTCAGGGTGAGGGTCTCGGGCAGCCCCTCGTGCTGCACATGGCATGTGTATCTCTGCTCCTCTCCAGAAGGCACCACCACAGCTGCCCACTTCTGGAAGTTTCCATCCCCTGCGGGCCTGGTCTCCACAAGCTCCATGTCTTGGGTCTGGTCCTCCCCATGCCGCTGCCAGGTCAGTGTGATCTCCGCAGGGTAGAAGCCCAGGGCCCAGCACCTCAGGGTGGCCTCATGGTCAGAGACGGGGTGGTGGGTCACGTGCGTCTTGGGGGGCTCTGAAGCGAAGATTCAGAAACTTCAGGTACTTTGAATCTCTCATGGGACACCCCAGCAGCACCCATGTGACCATCCTGAGAATGGACAGGACACCTGGGGTGGGGAAGGGAGCACAGAATCCAGACACCAGCCTGGACACAGGCACCTGGGATAATCTCCTATTCCTTAGAAAGCTCTAGTCTCTGGTGGGGGAACCGGGACTTCTGGCCCCGATCTGAGTGGAGGCCAAGGGACTCAGAGGAGCTGGAGTCAGACCCCTGCACACGTTGAACGTGAGGCAGAGGACAAGGCAGGAAAGGAAAAATCCTGGTGCCAATGCTGCTGTGGGGTCACAGGGAACCCCTATCAGTATTCCAGGGATTGATTCCCCTCCTTTCCCTCAGAGACTGCAAGCCTTAATTGTATCAGAGAACAGGGCAGGCCCTCAAAATCACTCTCTGGTACAGGATCTGGAAACCCAGGAGGATTCCTCTCCCTCAGGACCGCAGGGAGGGCGATATTCTAGTGTCGGTCCCATTTCCTCCCCTCCGTGTGTAAGGCCAGCCTGGGAGATCTACAGGAGATGAGGGAGGTGCCCCACAACCCCTGTGGCCCCTGATACCAGCGCGCTGCAGCGTCTCCTTCCCGTTCTCCAGGTGTCTGCGGAGCCACTCCACACACTCGCCCTCCAGGTGGGCTCTCATCCTCTCAGCCTCACTGGCCGCCTCCCACTTGCGCTGGGTGATCTGAGCCGCCGTGTCCGCGGCGGTCCAGGAGCGCAGGTCCTCGTTCAGGGCGATGTAGTCCTCGCCGTCGTAGGCGAACTGGTTATACCCGCGGAGGAGGCGCCCGTCCGGCCCCAGGTCGCAGCCGTACATCCTCTGGTAGGTGTGAGACCCTGGCCCCGCCCCCGCGGTCAGCCCCGCCCCCGAGCCCCGCCCCCCGCCCAACCCGCGGGTATTTTGGCCTAAACTGAAAATGAAACCGGGTAAAGGCGCCTGGGGCTCTCCTGGGTTGGGGGTTTGGGCGGGTCCCGCAGCCTCGGGGTGGATCTTGGACCTGGAGACTCAGGGCAACCTGGGCCCTCCGTCGGGGATGGGGAGGGGTCGTGACCTGCTCACCGGGCCGGGGTCACTCACCTGCCTCGCTCTGGTTGTAGTAGCCGCGCAAGGTTTGCAGGTTCGATCTCTGAGTCTGTGCGGTGGCCTTGGAGATCTGTGTCTGCAGGTCCCAATACTCCGGCCCCTCCTGCTCAACCCATGGCGCCCGGGGCTCCTCTCTCGGACTCGCGGCGTCGCTGTCGAACCGCACGAACTGCGTGTCGTCCACGTAGCCCACGGTGATGAAACGGGGCTCCCCGCGGCCGGGCCGGGACACGGAAGTGTCGAAATATCTCAAGGAGTGGAAGCCTGGGGGCGAGGAGGGGCTGAGACCCGCCCGACCCTCCTCCCGACTCCGCTCCCCGGAGAGTCTGCGCTCTCACCCGGCAAGCGTCCAGCCCCTCTCCTCTCAGAGGCGATTTATTTCTTGACCCCGCACTCACCCGCCCAGGTCTCGGTCAGGACCAGGGCCCCCGAGAGCAGCAGGAGGAGGGTTCGGGGCTCCATGACCGCATCCTCGGCGTCTGGGGAGAATCTGAGTCCGGGTGTGCGACTGGGGACTTTGGAACCCGGACCTCAGAGACGCTGATTGGCTTCTCTAGAAACCCGACACCCAGAGGGAGTGGGAACTGGGTCCAAGTCGTGAGTATCCAGGAAGAAGGATCCGACACACGTTGACAGAGGAAGAGAAACTCTGCGGAGATGGGGAATCCCCAGCGCTGCGTCTCCCCAATCCATACACCGCCTTCGGGGGGAATGGAGGTGTAGAGATAGGGTGTTTGTTTTTTTTTTTTCTTTAAATATAGAACGATTTTACCTGAGAGCATGAAATAGCACAGAGACCAGTTTACTTTTTGTTTATTAACTACAGTGGGCAGCAGAATCTTGGTAATGCCGAAATGATTAGGAACTTAATCGATTTAAAAAATATGACTTTGGCCCCTTGACATATAAATGTGTATAAAAGCATTACAACAGGACTCAGAAATCTCCTAAGTTTCACTTTCCCAGACAGTGTATCTGTGATTCCAACTTGTTGTATTTTAAATTTACCTTCATTCCATAGCCCTGAGTTTCTGTGTGACTCCAGGACATCTCCTCAATACAAAGTAGCACACTGTGTTACGTATGTTGCAAACAGGAGCCAGTACAGACTTCATTCACCTCACAGTCGCAAGTGTTCAATGCAGTCACAAGGCCCCTCACCAGTGCTCATGCACTGCCTGTTTTTAGAAAGTTGTCATATCTAAGTGGTGTGTGCATATTTTATAGGAACACTTAGTATTTATTTAAACCTGATTAACATGAAAAATCAATTTGTTTTCGGGCAGACCTACATAAGATATTAAAGGCCAACTGCAAAGAACACCCTTGCAGTCTCTGTAGATGGATGTATTAAAAATCTGTAAAACAATGTGTTTAAACTAAGAATTCTGTTGCTTTCTATTTCCTTCCCTCTGCTCCTTCTCCTCACCTCCTCTTTCTCCAGCCCTTCCCTCCGTCCCTCTCATCCCTCAGGCCCTCCTCTCCCCTTAGTCCCCACCACCCTGTCACTCCTGAATTGTGGCTCTAGCACTGTCCCATTACCTGCTACATGACTGTTCTCTCCACAGTGGTCCTGCTATTGTGAATCAGAGTATGTCTTTCTCCACCTAAAACACTCCAGTGGCTCCACCTTGGTCTTGTGAAGCTTCCGGAATGTCAGGCATGTGAGCATGTGAGGGCAGACCTGGTTCGCCACGGGCACTAACTTAATTTTATTGACTGAATGAATGAAATATGAGTGTATTAAGTTGTATCACAGAAAATTATAAAATGTAAAACACTGAAAAAGTTAAGAAAGATTTTACGTAACTAGTGTGCATATCAATTCATCAATTCATTCCATAAGTCTGTTGAGCCTGTGTATAAATTTTATAAGACTGTGTAATTATTGAAAATATTGGCTTTAAATAACACTCATTTATTGTATTCATTCATTTATTTTTAGAGACAGAGTCTCCCTCTGTGCATCCAGGGTGAAGTGCAGTCACATGATCATGGCTCACTGCAGCCTCAAACTCAAGGGATCCTCCTGCCTCAGTCTTCAGAGTAGCTAGGACTGCAAGTACCACCATGCTCAACTAATTAAAGAAAAAAAAAAACTGTAGAGATAATGGTCTCACTATATTATCCTGCTGGTCTCAAACTCCTGGCTACAAGTGATCCTCCTGTGTCAGCTCCTCAAATGTTAGGATTACAGGTGTGTGCTACCATGCCTGGCCTAACAACACCCATTTATCTGTTTATAGTTCCTTAGTCAGAAATCCTAGCATGATGTGGATGGAATCTCTGTTCTGTGCTTCCCAAAGCTGTGTTTTCATTTTGAATTCTCCTTCAGGCTTATACAGAGGTGGCAGAATGCAGTTTTTGGCAGTTGTAAGACTGAGGTTCCTGTTCCTTGCTGGCTGTCAAGGTAGAGAACAGGGAGGGATGTGGTCAGTTCCTGGTGCCCACCAGCGTTCTTTCCCACACAGCCCCTTCATTTTCAAAGTCCACAGTGGAGGAAACCCCTCATGCTGAATCCCTCTCACACCATGAATCTCTATGCTCAGGAAGAACCCAGTCTTTCAAGGGCTCAGCTGATTAGGACAGTGCAAGCAGGATAAACCCAGCCTAAAGTCAACTAATTGAGACCCTTAATTATATCTGCTGAATCCCTTCACAACAGCACTAACATTAGAGTTGGTTGAATAACTGGGGGAAGGTGAATGACCAGGAAGTGGTTGTTGGGGCCATCACAGAATCAGCCTAGCAAGGGTTGGATCTTCCTTTTGTGTTTAATTGAGACACAGTTGGAATTGAAGTTCAAGTAATGTGATCACTGTGAACGATAATAAAATACATCCTCTTCAGCCATGGAAATTCTCCTTATCTTTTACAACCAAGTTATATATTTAGTATCTTACAATTAATTTAGGCCAGTTGTGGTGGCTCATGCCTGCAATTTTACCACTGTGGAAGGCAGAGGAATGTGGATCCATTGACTCCAGAAGTTCAAGATCAACCTGGGAAACATGGTCAAACCCCCATCTCTGCCAAAAAATGAGAAAATTAGCCAGGCATGGTAGTTCATGCCTGTAGTCCCAGCTACTCAGGAGGCTGAGGTCAGAGGACCCCTTGAGCCCAGGAGGTTGACACCACAGGGCATGGTGATCATGCCACTACACTTCAGCCTGGGTGACAGAGAGGGACCCTGTCTCAAAAATAATAAGATTGATGATGTCAAATTTAGAGCACAGGCAAATTAACGTGTAATAATCCATCCTCTCTTGTGAAAATCTATTAGTTATTTACAATTGCATAACAAATGATGCAAAACATAGCAGCTCAAAACAACAAATATTTATCATCTTCCACAGTTTCCAATGGTCAGGAATCCAGGAGAGGTTTCCCTGAGTGCTTCTGGCTCAGTTCCTCTCACAAGGCTGTAGTCCAGTTGTCAGCCGAGGGCTGCATCATCTGAGTGTTTCCCTGGGGCTGAGGATTCACATGAAACATGGCTCAGTCACATGGCTGTTGGAAAAGGCCTAGTTTCTTGTTGTCTGGTTCCAGAAGTCCTCAGTTCTTAGCCACATGGAACTTTCTGCAGGGCAGCTAATGGTACAGCACCTGACCTCTCCCAGAGCTCATGATCCCAGAGACAGAGAGAGAGAAAGTAAAAGCCAAGGTGACTTTTATCTTCTACACCCAGAGTCACAAACTGATATGTCATCATTACTCTTTCAGTTAGAAGTTGCATTAGCTCATGCTCACACTTCTATAAAGAAATACCTGAGACTGGGTAATTTCTAAAAAAAGAGGTTTAATTGACTCACAGTTCTACATGGCTGAGGAGGCTGCCCCAGGACACTTACAATCATGGCAGAAGTAGAAGCAAACACAGTCCTTCTTCACATGGTGGCAGGAGAGAGAAATGCAGAGCGAAGCAGGGAAAAGCTCCCTTGTAAAACCATCAGATCTCATGAGAATTCACTCACTATCATTAGAACAGCATAGGGGAACCGTCCCCATGATCCAGTCACCTTCCGATGTGGTCCCTCCCCCAATATGTCAGATTACAATTCAGTAAGACAATTCAAGATGAGATTCAGGTGGGAACACAGAGCCAGGCCATATAGGAAGTGCATCATTAAATCCAAGCCACTACTCAAGAGAGGGAATTAAGCTGCACCTCTGGAAGGGAGCAGTATTAAAGGATTTGAGTATATGTTAAAAGCAAAATTAAAATCTATTGTTTCAAGATTTTGTAACTCAAAGGCTTTTTTAAATCTAATTGTTTTTCATTAATGCTTTAAGCTTGTCTTTTAATTTAATTAATTTTAAGTTCCAGGGTACAGGTGCTGGATGTGCAGGTTTGTTACATAAGTAGACGTGTGCCATGGTGGTTTGCTGCACCTATCAACCCATCATCTAGGTATTAACCCGGCATGCATTAGCTATTTTTCCTAATGCTCCCGCCACCACTGCCCACCCTCAACAGGCCCCAGCGTGTATTGTTCCTTTTCTCTTGTCCAAGTGTTCTCATTGCTCAGCTCCCAATTATATGTAAGAACATATGGTGTTTGGTTTTCTGTCCTGTGTTAATTTGCTGAGGATAATGACTTTCAGCTTCATCCATATCTTTTTATGCAACCATAAAAAGAAATAAAATCAAGCATAGGACTTGATTTCATTTATTTTTATGGCTGCATAATATTCTATGGTGTATATGTACCATCTTTTCTTTACCCAGTTCATCACTGATGATGGGCATTTGGGTTGATTCTATGTCTTTGCTATTGTGAATAGTGCTGTAATGAACATACGCGTGCATGTATCTTTATAATAGAATGATTTATATTCCATTGGGTATGTACCCCATAATAGAATGGCTGGGTCAAATGGTATTTCTGGTTCTAAAATTTGAGGAATCGTCACACTGTCTTCCACAATCGTGGAACAAATTTATGGTTCCACGAAGAACATAAAAGCATTCCTATTTTTCTGCAACCTTGTTCGGACTCCCTGTGTTCTCAACGGGAAGACTGGAATGTTTCCTTCTAACTTCATCAAGGAGTTTTCAGGGTAGTCAGATAAGCTTGGCCTTTCCCAGGATGAGCATCTGTCCAAGTCAGGTTTAAGGGAAACCACAGGCTCCTGAGAGTGATGGGGGTGACTCAAGCAGCACCGAGTCTGAAGGTGCCAACAGGACAGTGGCGACGGCAGCAATCCAGCCCAAAAAAGTTAAAGGAGTGGGCTCTGGAGACATTTTCAAAGACAAGCCAATCAAACTAAGACCAAGATTCAATTGAAGTAGAAAATGACTTTCTGCCGATGGAAAAGACTATTGGGAAGAAGTTAACTACAATTCTGGCAACTCCAGACTCCTGGAAAACAGAAATGGACAGCAGGACAAAGAGCGAGGATGACTGCAGAGTAATATTTCCATATGAGGCACAGAATAGTGATGAAATGACAATCAAAGAAGGAGATACGGTCACTCTCATCAGTAAGGACTGCACTGAGGTAGGCTGGTGGGAAGGAGAGCTGAACAGCAGATG